AGCTCACTGTAACCTCCAACTCCTCGACTCAAGTGATCCTCCTTCTTTGCCTCCCAAAACCCTGGGATTATAGGTATGAGCTACTGTGTTGGAACCTCAAACTCTTCATCTAAAATAGATTTTCATATTGTGTTGAAGTTCACATGTAAGAATCTTAAGATTAGTTTTATTTGTGATTACTATTCAGACTTCTAAAAATTATAAATTCTTTAATAATCAATTTAAAAAATAATTTTGAATAACTGGTTTTTGTAATCAAATAATTTTGGAAATAATGCATTCGTTGCTTTTCTTCATTGTTTATCAACCATGTAGCATTTAGAAGTCCATTTTAATAGCAGTCTTCCTAGAAATGGCAACTTCAGATTGATAACTTCAGATTGAGTATGCTAGTTTGCCTATGACCCTTTAACTTGAATAGACGTTTGTTTCTTTTGAAACATGTTAACTTCATTTTATTTAAATTTTGAAAACAACTTGTAGGTGTGGTTGATTTATAGCCTATTGACTAAACAATGCATATTTCCTTTAGAGAGCACATAATAAATATTTATTGAGAGAATGAAAGAATGAGAGATAATTGTTCTTTGTTATCTGGCAAGAATAATATTTCTTTGAAAATGTTGAGTAATGAAATCATTTTAGTTTATACCATTTTTCAACAACTGCTTTATTCTTTATATGACAGTGATATAATTTAAATATCCCAGAATATTATTCTCGTCTTCAAAATAACTGCTAGCACGTATTTCTTTGTTTAATTTTCTTGAGGCACGGTGATTATTGAGTAAAAGTACTTTAATATGTATCTCATAGTGCCACCTATGGTATTCTTAGACCTCTCCTTCTCTTGTACCACTTTTGTGTCTCAAGCCTTCAGATTCTCTAACTCTTTGTTCTCCCTCCCAGCAGCTGTCGTGACCAAGCACTTCACAGAAAATTGAGAATTTATCACCTTCCCACAGTTTCCATCCCATTCCCCATCCTCACATGCATGACTCTTGTATAATCTTAGTATTTCTATACTGAGATATGGTATAACAAGATTCATAACTTACATCATGCCAGGCATTGGGCTAAGTGCTTTACAAACATAATCTCATCCAATTTTCACAACATCCCTTTGAGGCGTGTACTATTATAAGCTGCATTTACAGATGATGACACTGGGGCTTGGGAAGGTTATTGAAACTGTGGTTTATATCGCTGGATTCAAATCTCATCTCTGCCATTTATTAACTTAGTGATCTTTGGCAAGTTATTTTGCCTTCCTGAGTCTTTCTCTAATAAGGAATCAATTTAAATGACACATTGTAGCATATGAAATAATGCCCAGAGTTTAAGGACATAGTTTCTAAAGACTTAAGTTCCAACTTTGATTCTTTGGTTTTCCCAATGCTGGCAATTCTATTTCCTACTACATCTCTCATATTCTGATACTGTTTCCATCCCCGTAGCCATTTTGCAGTTTAGACCACATTTTTCTCTTATGAACTAGTGCATTAGCTTTATAAATTATTTCCCTGTCTTAAGTGTATTTTCTAATTTGGTTTCCACATTTTTTCCAGAATTATGGCTCCCTATTACCTTCAGAAAAAAAAATCTTTAGTAAAGCACATGAGATTTGTCACAATCTTCACCGAATCTACTTCTTTTACTTTATCTTTCGTCTCTTGCCACGCTGATCCGTGCCTCCTTACATCTCATTATAAAGCTTGTGAACATAGTGTTCCCTCTGTCTTGAATATTTCCTGCCTCTCTCCCATTTTTGTCTAACTAGAACCTTCTTAATCCTCCTTCAAGAGTCCTCTCAAAATCATCTTCACTATGAAACTTACCTATTTCCTTTCTTTCCTGTCCTCACCTCAACACATAATTCAGAGTCAGCCACAGGTTTTAATATTTGATTCCTTGACGTTCTCTGAGTTATTCATTTGTGTGCTCCCATCTTTTGGAACTTAGAAAGAATATAAAAAACAAAAACAACAAGCAATTAGAGTTTATTAAATTAAGGAAAAATTGTACCTGTGAATAGATTAATGATTCTAAGTTGTCCATTTCTATGGCATCTCTGCTGTTGAACCATCAATTAACTAGTCAGGAACTGAACAAAAGAAAGGACACATCCAGACCTTATCTAATTAAGTTGGAAACAAATTCTCTGTTTATAGCAGAAGAAAATGTAGATCTTTCACATTACAACTATTTATATAAGAACTGCACTTAAGGTATCTGAATCTTTGTGTTGACACATCATTCTCCTCATTGACATTGTTTCCAGTATGCAGAGCTTGTGGCTGAAACAGTCAACACATGACCATCTCTTCTTACCATTCTTTGTAAACATAGTCATGGGCTTCTTTGTCTTGTTGCTTGGATACAGTTTGCTGTGTTTTAACCTTGTAACCTTGAACTACTGTTTTGAAATTACCATAAACGTCTTCCTTACCACGTTGCCTACCTTTGATCTTACTAAGTTCTCACTCCTTTTGACTTCTACATCATGTAACACCATGTTATGACACCATGATCTAGAAATGTCTTTCTCTATTGGTTTCCATGAGATCATGCCTTGATCATCTTCTCAGTTTGTAAAAATCTGCTTTAACAATTTCAAATTATTAATTGTATCATTTCATTCTCTACCATCAAATCTCTGCCCATTTACATCTATAGACAATCCATGTTCTCTTTCATTCACACCCATTACTTTGATTCTCCATGGCTTTCAAGGCTGTATAGCCTATGCTACCCGTTTATCTGAACTTCATTTACAGTGCTTATGAGACATAACCCATATATATATACTTTACCACTTCAAATTCAATTGTGAAATATTAAATTTATGAATTTTTCTTTGAAACCATTTTCCCAATTTTTAAATTTCCAGGGATTACCATTATTCTTTTATTTTCCCATTCTATAGGAATCTTTCTAATTGTCTTTGTTTTCTACAGTAAAGCATATTAAAACTTTGTCCAAGCTCTCTTTTTTCCTAATTATCTTTTGTAATTGCCCTTTTCTGACTGGGCATTTTGTTTGGCTGTCACCACTCTAATTATCTTCTTTTCTTTATCTGGGGTACATGGTTGCCTTCAACTGAATATGAGTATTGCTGTGGGACCAAGTCTGTGCTGGTGGAATATCAACAGAAGAGAAGTGTACAACTTCAACCTGACTTGCTTAAAAGATGCACCCCTGTGTTTACTCATCCTCTTTTCTTTCTGCTAGCTACAAAAGATGCCACCGGGAGCCAATTTGGAAGCACATATTGAACAGGCCAGCATTAGCCCCAAGTTTCTACATGATTTCCTAGAAGAGAATCGATTACCTACTAAGGGATAAATAAAAGTTTCCCTCTATATTTGGGTCCTTTGATAAAGCATTTCAGCTTGACCCTACCTAACATGCTAATTATTACCACATCAACACTCAAGTCCATGCCTTCAACAGTTCACATCAGAGTTACTTCTGAGCTTTCTGGTTCATTAATCTCCATTCTCTTTCTCTTCATAGACAGAGGCCAAGACCTTGTGCCTATCTTTTTCTTCAGGCTGTGGGGGAGCTTTCCACATGCTGCAGTAAATAGAATTTGAACTGAAAATGTAGATTTAATGCATCTTTGAAATAAACTGAAATAAAAATCAGGCAGTCTTTCTAACTGAGTGTCCCATCAAAACATGCCAAACATTAGAGGAATGAAGGAATAAGACAATAGGATAGAAAGTAGAAAAAGCAAATGACAGCAAAAAAAAATTCAAAACATAGGTAGAATATGTAACCTGTAGTGACTCCTCAAACTGAGAAGAACATTGGGAGATTTTAGGAGGAATATGATTTATGATAAAGTAGGGAAGGTAGTACATAGACTAATGTAGACATCTCTTATTTTTCTACTTTTCAAAGCATCCTTCAACAAACAAATTTCTTTCTGCCTAATTAGGGACATACAAATAGCTTTAAAATAATCTTGTTAAATCTGCTTCTATCATGTCAATCATCTGCCATATATATTAAAACATTGTATGCTTCAATACATTTAAAAGTGTAGTGCTAGTTAGAATTAAAACAATGAAAATAGAAAAGAGAAAATCTGGGAACATATAATTAGATCTGAAACTTTCATCTCTACTAAACAGCACCAAAACCCAATGGAGTAAGTATTTATTTTTCCATGAAAGTTTTAGGAAAATTGGCTATCTGGAAAATAAATTTTAATGAAAGCTACTTTAATTGAGTTTTTTATACTGCATACCAAACTAAATTGTAGATGAATTAAGTAATTTAATATATCTATCCATTCATACATTCAACAAACATATATAAAATACCTAGTGTGTACTAAACTTGGAGGTTACAATGGTATATAAGACCTATCTCACCACTTAAATACCCTTGACTCTCTGTGGGGAAGAAGACAGATCAATGAGAAATTTGAGAGGTAACAAATTGTGTCTAGAGAAAGGTCTCCAAGCAATACCTCAATGAGGAGCTAATACTATTCTGAGAAAGGGAAAGGGCAGGCAGAAGTGAGGAAAACTTTCCAGCTAGAATAACAAGAGGTATTAAACTGGAAAATTTCCCAGCCATCTAATTGTTAGAATTAAAATAAAAATTTTAAAAATACAATAAGACTGAAAACAAAAATACACTTTCTGAAAACCGCAAGATTTTCAGTAAAGCTGCTTGTTGACTTTTATACAAATGTCTTCTTAGTCTTGATTGCCTAGTCAAAGGATTGCAGATATATTTTCATTATTTTAAGTGAAGATACTCTCTAGTCAAAAAAAAAATGCAGACAAAGGTAAGTTTCAAGATACCTTCAATATTTCATTTCATTTAGCGATGGGAGTATGCTATACTGATAACTGATTCAAGAAGAAAAATGTGCAAATAAAGAACTTGAATAGGGAGAAATACTTAAAGTTGTTGTGTGGAATGTTTATAAAAAAAAGTTGTGGTTGTCTTTTCAGAATCATCAGTATCCTGGAAGAAAAATAATGTTAAAAAATAACAAAACAATAATTATTAAGTACTTTCTTAATCTCATTAATGGAGCTTTCTTGGTAAGAATCTCCATAATTATATATTAAAGAAAATGTAATCTATTGTATAGGCAATTATAAAAAATAAGCACTGACTTTCTTTTTTTAGGTTCTTGGACTTTTATTCATGGGATTTAGTGCATGGCTTTTATTAGACAGAAATATTTTTTTAACAGCTTTTGGTATGTATTTTTGTTTTTCTCAGTGAAACAGACATTCCGTTTTAAACAATTGTATGCACAATTTATCCAGCAGGTGGCAGTATTTCTCTAGAATTTATTAAGTGTTGTCTAGCAGTCCCTCTGAAAGTCTTCATCAGTTGCAGAGATTTGTTAAAGGATATAAAATTACAGCTAGATAGGAGAAAAAAAGTTCTAGTGTTCTATATTACTGTAGGATGACTGTAGTTAACAATAATGTATTACATAGTCACAAATAGCTAGAAGAATATTGAATATTCCCAACACAAAGAAATGATGCATGCTTGAGATGACCGGATATGCTAATTACTCTGATCTGATCAACTGTATATATTGTATGTATCAAAACAACACCCATGAATATTTACAATTATTAGTTGTCATTTTTAAAATAAAATTTTAAATGCAATTTTAACTTTCCTATTAAAAGCTTTTATCTGACTCTCCATTGCCATCATTTACTCATATAGCAAACATTACTTAGCATCTTCTGTGTGTCAGCCATTGTCTTAAGAGCTGAGGATATGGTAGTGAATGAACAAAATAAAGTTCCCATTCTCGTGGAGCTTTATTTCAGTAAGGAAGACTGAAAAACAAAGTGCCTATAATTTCATCCCTGCAAACCTTTTTAGTCTCATCTGACTCGAACTGTATGTGTCAACAAAGCTGAGTTTCTTACGCACACTATGCTGCTGAATGTCTCAGAAATGCTGCACCATTTCAACCTAGATATTTCCAATGATCAATAAAGCCTATGCTCAGATGTTACTTTTTCTAGCAACCTTGCCCAAACCTTCTAACCTTCTCCCACAACTGGTTTAGGTTCCTCTTTTCCCATAGTATGCCGGTCAACATTTAACAACCAATTCTGGAATGGAGAGTCTTGATTTATGACATCTGCCCATTTCCATGGTTTAAACAGTTCCCCAATGGCCAATTTCAAGATGTCAAAGTGAATTCAGTTGGTTTGCAGATTTCCTGGAAATAGCACAATTGGCTTTTATGAGACAGTATAAGCTCTCTCTAGCACACCACCACCTACACTGTTTTCCCATAACACCCTCCCATACATATTTAATTCATTTATCCATGCTTCTTTTTTAAAAAGAATTATCTGTTGAGCATTTACTGTCCTGCTGTCTATTCCACAGCACCAAGCATTCAACAGTCAGCCTGTTGACTGATAAATATGTATAATCTCTAGCACTGAGGGCTCACATTCTAGATGGGGGAAAATAAAATGTAGTTTGAAAGGGATTATATTAGCAATAAATTCAGGGTGTATACATTTAAATCACACATATTAGTTTCTAAAGTTTTTTGATGAATGAATAAATCCATGAATGTTTGAATATACATTAGACATAGAGGAGATCTTAGAAACAATTTTCTTCTGTCATGGAAAACAAGGAGGATAAGGGTAAAGAGATATTCTGAAATTTAAGAAATTCTCTTCATGTGAGAAAAGGAAGAAAGTTGATTCTAAAAGTGAGCGGTAGTACATGAAGTCAAAACTTGAGAGAGAGAGACAGAGAATCCTAGTGGTTTGGCAACAGCTGCTTAGAAAAGCTTGGTTGCTGAAATTATTATTAAATAGAAAAATTTTTTAAATACCACTTCATAATAAGTAATTTTGTGCTTTTCAAAGAAGAAAACAATCACCTTATAGTATCTATTTCTCAAATTTTGATTGGAATGGGATCTTCTACTGTTGTTTTTTGTCTTTTGGGCTATATAGGAATTCACAACAAAATCAGATGGCTCTTAATTGTGGTACGTATTTCACATCAATAGTCTGAACTTTTATCTTAGATGTTTAAGTATCTAAGTTGCACAAATGGGTAATGATTTGTGTTACTGTGACACTGCAGTAGAGTATGTCCTTAGAGCAATACAAATGAAGAACAGCCTCCTCCCTCCAGCAAAGTAACTTTTCCAGGTATTATTTTCTTAGTGAGTTTTCTATGAATTGAATCTGTACCTCAGCACATTTGAACATTTAATTTTTAACACAGACCTAATAGGAATTCATCTCCTAGAGTAAACTACAATTCACCAAACTTAAGAATCTGAAGGCTAGAATTAGAATGAAGTTTATTCAAGTCAGTGAGCAATGTAGCAAATCAGGGTAAAAGAGACATGTTCTAGAGTCAGCATATTTTTCTCTCTGTGGGCATGACATGAGGAAAGGTAACCTATGTATGTATTAATTTTTTTATAATTTCAACCTTTATTTTGTGTGAGGGGTACATGTGCTGGTTTGTTACATGGGTATATTACAAGATGCTGAGGTTTGGGTTTCAGTTGATCCTGTCACCCAAGTAGTGAACATAGTGCCCAGTAGTTACTTATTCAACCCTTGCCCCCCACCCCCCTCTCTTTATTAGTTCCTAGTGTCTGTCATTGCCATGAAAGGTAACTTATAATTGAGATCACAAATTTTTATTTTTAAATGAGAACTCTACTGAAAGAGGCAGACTCTGGCATCTGACTTGCACACTATTTCTCTCGAGGCTTTTGATGTGAAAAGACAAATTATATTCCAGAGTACTGACCTGGACATGAGCCAAATACCATACATGTGGCAGGTATGGATCACAATTCACACACTCAGATGAAATATAGCCTTTACGTTTTTCTCTAAATCAAATTGATTTTAATTTGCAGCCAAGCAGATAGGAAGTTCAGCTGCTGTCATTTTGTCCTTTACCAGGAAGAATACAGAGATACTCAGCTTTTGTGGAGCACTGAAAGTCTGGGTGGTCAGTCACCCTGGATGCTAGTTATCAGTCTATGTCATTTACAACAAACACACCAACTTTCCCAGGTCACATGGTCTATTCAGGTCTACTCACTCTGCTCTTTAAATGGCTGTGGGTGGCAAAGGTAGCCTGCTATTCATACAGTATTTATCAGTACAGGCATACCAGTGAAACCCTTTTGTGAAATATTGGTAAATAACCAGTACCTCAGTTCCATTCCTTCAGTCTTCCTTCCCTGAGACAGTCAGACCTCCCTAATGGCACAGCAATTAGGAGGTACACCTGGCATAGGAAACAGTTGCTGCCTATTAGTAGTAATTGCTACTCTTGTTTGAATATTACCCTGGCACAGGCATTTTAGATATGGACCCTGATTTCCCTCTGGGGTTTTACCACCTTACCAGGGAAGTGCCAGGATTCCAAGGACTATGATCTGTTGCTCTGGAAACTCACAGACTTCCAGGATCCATCTCAAAATCTTTTTAGTCCAAGAAGAGATTTTACTGTCTCTTCTTAATCTCCTCCAAGGCCAACCCTCTCTTCTCAAGCCTTAACTCTCTCTCTTTCTAGGATCCTTAGCCTAATTTTCTCACTGAGCTTCAGAATTTGATTATAGTGACCAGGACAGAAATGGCTTGCAAGAAAATCTTGGCTTTTTTCTTCTTGTCACAAATTTCCATGTAGGCAAAGGAAATGCAGATCTTACTGCTTGTACAATGTAGGGGGTAGAGATAGGAAAGAAAGGGGGAAAGTAGAGGGAGAAAAACATTTTCTAAGTTTTTGCCTCATATGATTCAAATATTAATGGAATCTGAATGAGAAAGCCTATTAGACACCATCATAAGGATATATACATGAACATAGGATCTGACAGATTAGGGCCTGGAACCAAGATGCCACCATGCGTCCCTTCTGGACATTCCCTGGAAGAGTGCTGCTAATTTGACCATCGTGACACTTTTGCTATTCTCCTCTGAATTAACCAGTACTTTTCTGATGAATATATTTTTCCCTGAACCAAATTAATTCATTCACACAGTCAATTTATGGGCAAATATTATCGATCTTAAAGCTATTCCATGTCTTAAAGGTGATTTTACATACACCTACTCTAAGATAACCAGTAATTTTAAAAATTGTTTCATATGCTGGGTGCAATGGCTCACTCCTATCATTTTTAGCACTTTGGGAGGCCAAGGTGGGCAGGTCACCTGAAGTCAGTCCTTGGAGACCAGTCCGGCTAACATGGTGAAACCCCATCTCTACTAAAAATACAAAAAATTGGCCTGGCATGGTGGAGGGCACCTGTAATCCCAGCTACTAGAAAGTCTGAGGCAGGAGAATCACTTGAATCTGGGAGGCGAAGGTTGTAGTGAGCCGAGATTGCGCCACTGCACTTCAGCCTGCGCCACAGAGCGAGACTTTGTCTCAAAAAAAAAAAAAAAAAAAAAGTTTTGTACAATTTTTCCTGCTTCTACAAATCCCTTATTAATATAAGATTAAGTGAGATAGTGCATTTGGAATTTGAAAATCTAAACATCTAAATAGATGTAAGACCATGTTTTTGTCTGTGAAATTTTTTTTCCCTGAAACTAGGAAATATAACATGCCAAGAAGAAAATTTTGATCTGATATTTCAAATTATTTAATGTTAAAATGTGCATAAATAATTTTTATCTCTGTGAGAGCTAAGTAAAAAGTAAATAAATAATACTAACAGTGAATCATTACTATTTAACATTTTGCCTGGTAAATATGCAGACCACTTACTTTTTAAATTATTATGAATTCAATTTTTTTTTTTTTTTTTTTTTTTTTTGAGACAGAGTCTTGTTCTGTTGCCCAGTCTGGAGTACAGTGGCACGATCTCAGCTCCTGCAGCCTCTACCTCCCAGGTTCAAGCAATTCTCCTGCCTCAGCCTCTTGAGTAGCAAGGATTACAGGTGTGCACCACCACTCCCAGCTAATTTTTGTATTTTAATAGAGATGGGGGCTGGGCTGGTCTTGAACTCCTGACCTAAAGTGATCCAACCACCTCAGCCTCCCAAAGTGCTGAAATTACAGCCATGAGCCACCATGCCCAGCTGAATTATAAATCTTACATATTAATATATGCTGTGTAAAAGTTGCAGATACCAGCAGGAAATCACTTTTGTCAGAACAAAAAACAAAAAATCAGGGCCAGAAAAGCCCAAAAGAGAGGCTGATGCTTATATACCTGAAATAAATACTATTTTTAAGGACTTTCTGAAAACCGCCAGCTAGAAACTGTCTTCGTTCATCTCCCGCTTTGATAAGGTTTATAACTAGATATTCCTTAGGACTGCAGTAATTCAGATCAGATGTTTTGGGAGAGCCCTTGCCCAGTCATGGCATCTCTACCAGTGAACTGGCAACAACTCTGGCTTTGAAACTTTGGAACCAATAAACTCTGTTTCTAAGCAGTTTATGTAAATCTCTCCCTTTTTTCTACTAAATGCTTCTCTCTACCCTGTCCTCACAGAATGAACTGGTAGTTTGTCATTTCATGCAATGAAATGGACTATAATCTTTATTTCTTATTGCTTAATGCCTCAACATAGAGGTAATTTTATTTTGTGCCTTTTTTAGGTTGACAGCAGCTATGATGAAGAAGACTAAAGTGTCCATATTTTAAAAAATAGTTTAATAAATGTAAAAATTATTTTATTTGGTTTGGATAGAAGTATTTTCAGTTTTCAGGAAATAGCCCAAATGTACATACAGATTTAAGTTTATTTTTGCAGTTCTTTTGTTATACTTTCTACTTTCTGCATATGCTTAAATAGTAGGTCATGAATTTAGTAGTTCTCTAGTTTTAGCAAAATAGAGTGAGGTGAAGATAATTAAAATCACTCTATAATAGTTTTAGAACTGAATTAAGATGGTGTCATTAACAACTATATTGGACCAACGTGCTCATTAATTACTATCACGTTTTTCTGTTTTATACAAATGTTCACTTTTTTTTTTTTACTTTGCCTTGCTATTTCACTAATTGCAGTCATATTTATGAAAGCAGGAAGCATCAGCAATACCTATGTATACTTTATGGTTGCATATTTTTAGTGGTATGCATTTTCCCATTATTTGGGCATACAAAATACATAGAAGCATAGTAACTATCTCTATTTTTCTTTGGTTTTAGTATGCAGTATTGATAACATGGGCCTTTGGTGTTCAGGTTGTACTTTCATCTTCACAAAGAAAGAGGAGTTATGGAAAACAAATCTTTATCAATGCATCCTGTTATTTGAACTTTAAAGGAAATTGGATACCCTAGAGTATTGAGACCATTGAGCCTATATTAAAAGTCAAAGGTAAATGTATTTAGGGGAAAATAATATTCAATGAAAGCACTAGAGTATAGGAAGGGGCCAGGAGTCAGATTGAAAGAGGTAGATAGGGGAACTTGCCTTTAACTCCATTTGCATATGATTAAAAAGTAGTTTTAAATATCAAACAGTATTGGGGAAGAGGAAATGGTATTGAGATTTAGGAGTCCAAATTTTTATATCCTTCTCCCCTTCTCCTCCTACCAATTCTGACTACCACTACTGACCCAATCACTGTATTATGTTTATGCAAAGAAAAAATTTAGACTCTAACTGATTTGAAATTGAGCAATTCACTTAAATAAGACATACTGAATAATTTGTTTATTTTCCACAGGTAGGGTGATGAGTGATTAGATTAATTAGAGCAAGATTTAAGTTTATCAAATTTAGTTCAAAAAAGCATATATTAAGGCTGAAAAAACTTTTGGACAATAAAACTTACCTATTACAACCTACAGTTATTTTAAATTCTTTAAGACATTTCAGTATTTCAGTTCATTGAAGGTCTGTCTTGTATCATGGGAGATTAATGTCCTATTGTAAAAACAGCACGTATTCGACGTCATACAGACATGAATATGGTTAGAGATCAACAAGCTGCTTTACGGCTCTGAGCCAATGTCTTCATCTGTAAAATATAATTAATAGCTGTCTACCTTACAGAGTTGTCGTTAACTGAAAATTTATCAAATTTCAGTTGTAAAGTAGCCACTTAAGAGTTCTCTTCCCTTGCCTTAATTAATCTTGAAAGAACTCTGATTAATTAATATGGTTCCTAGATTTTCTTTATATCTATCTATATTCCTCTGTAATGGCCAAAGTTAAAAAAAAAAATCTTTCCTATATGATAACATTGCCCTTCAACTTCATTCTTTACTGGACAGTTAATCGTGTGTGTGTGTGTGTGTGTGTGTGTGTGTGTGTGTGTGTGTGTGTGTTTATGGGAGTTTTAAAAGTATTTCGGCCGCAGCAGGTAAGTTTCAGAAAGCTGTTTTGGTGGCAAAACACCAAATCCCAATCTCTCAACCTCAAACTTTTGAACCTGATGATAGAACATAAATATGAGACATAAGAGTTATCAATATGTAAATATAGTTTATCTGAGTTACCCGTATTTGCTTCAATGTTAGGCACAGACTCCTGTATCTCTATATATATCAGAATAAGAACTAATGAATAACTACCATGTGCCAGAGACTGTAATAAACACTATAGGTATCGTAATATTAATCCTCACAGCAACCCCTAGAAATGTACTGTAAGTCCTACTTTATAGGAGAGAAAACTGAGGCTTTGTGATGAGAAACGCTTGTTAAAGTATTTCATGGCCAAATGACAGAGCCTGGACTCAAATACTCATTTGCTGACCCCAGAGCTAACAACTTTGTTAACATCAGTTTGTTTTCTGCGTTCAAACTGGCCTAAGTTCTTAAGAACCTCTAAATCTTTTATGTTATTTACAGTACTTAACTAAGTGTGGAAGATACACTGGGCCTTTAATAGATGCTTACCAAATTGAGTAAGCGTAAGAGAATTTTACTTATACATTAGGTTATATATGAAAGTACTTATGTATGAAGTTTTATTCATATGTACTTTAGATCTCCCAAATAATGCTTTAGAAACTATACAAGGCCATAAGTTTTACCCCAACACATTGCCAACAGCACTATATTTTTATAATTTTGCCAACAGCACTGTATATTTTATTTATTCTAAATAAAAATAAACAGAATAAAATAGATCTAAATCATCCTTGACATTATTCTAATTTTCTTAAATGTATTAAAATGCAAATATATAAGTAACTAAGTAAGAGTTTAGCTTGTATGCCTTTTATAATTATTGTAATATTTTCACCAGTTTTTATTTTCAAAGACAACACAATTCAGTAAAAGTCATTAGACTAGCATTCAAATGATCATATTTAAACATCTCAGCTTCTTATAAACAAAAGTCAATAATTAAATTTTCTGAGTGTCTGTATTTCCATTCATAAAAGGGGAATATCTATTCTTCCTAGCTTTTGGTATTATTGAGGACCAAATTAGTAATTTGTTATAAAAATTATATAAATGTGTAAATGCTAAGTTACTACAACAATCATTCTACCTTTGCATTATCTGGATTTTGAGATTGCAGAGTTTTGTTTTTCCCCATTCAGATCTGATCATTTTTGGGTTAGAAATGCAGGAGAGAAAAAGTTATATCTCATTCATCACAAGGCTCTTGGCTGAGATCTCTATAACAAAAGACAAACTAACAAAGAAAAAGCAAAACAAATTGACTTAACCAAAACACAAAGACTCAAAGATCCAAGGAAAACTATTTCTGTGGACAGTCATGTGAAAGTGTGATTGGAGGGCAAATGCATATAATCTAATGGTAATAAACCTGGGGGATATTTAGCAAGGTCTGTTTGTTCAGATGCTTCTTGGCTTCTGGGTATAGGACAGGGCCCCTCTGGAATGAGGATCTTTTGATATACCTTCAGGGGAAATGGGGCAGGTAATTCTTTTATGACCTGCTTCATGGGAGAAAGGCAGGAGAAGAAAGGTCCCACAGTGACCTTTTTGCTTCGGCAGTTTTCTCAATTTCCTTGAGCTTAAAATATTCAGCATACCAAGGTGCTATATTTTGGAGTATTTTATTCTGAGCCCTATAGTATTATGAGAGGATAAGATTTAAAATTTAAAAATCAGTTTTTAGAAATATATAGTAGATAGAAATCAATCATTTTATTTAACATCTTAATTAATGAGAAAACCAGTAAGATATAAAAACTAATTCAAAGGAGAATCCCGAAGAGGATATTTATATAGGCTGTCACTTAATAGATGCAAAACAGGCTTGGAGAGAGAAGGAATCAAATATACCCTTACTGAGAAAAATGTATTTACATTTCTCTGACCAAGTATAATTTGCATAAAACTATAGTTTTCTACAACTTCTAAAGTTGTAAAATAAATTATAAGCCACGAAATGTACACTACAGACCTCCCATGGAATTAAGGAATGTTGAAGTTTGTCAGAAAAATCTTGGTGCCATTGAAAAGACACTTATTTTGGTTTTTGATTTGTTTAAAAGACTTTTAAAGTGTTTTTCTGAGTATGAGAGAAGAGCACATTTTCTTCCTTACTCATAAAATGAGCCTATAAATTATGAATTGAAAAACCATATGCTTTGATACCCACTGAGATTGTTAAAGTTATTTAAAAAAGAAATAAACAGATAACAGAAAAATCATATTGAATATTATCTTCATGATGGTACCCTTGAGGAACTATCAATTTTGATGAAGTTTTTATGGATAAATTTCTGTGATATTTTCACTTTTAATACAATTTTCTACAGGTTTGGTAACTATGGCATGACAGAATTGATTGTGTCATTTCTGACTATGGATCTAAAGATAAGCCTGAAGATATAACCAAGTGGACTATTCTGAATGCTTTACAGAAAACAGTAAGATGAAATTAACTAAAAAAATTCGATGTCACTGTTGACCACTGAGGGACAGAGAGAGAATAGGTTGGGGCAAGGAATAGGGGCAGAGGAATGAGAGTTGTATTTCTTCGAAACAAACTGGTCAAAAGGGCATTGTCCCCATTTAGAAATCTTGAGTTATATTCTCCTTTTATTAACTCCTATTTTCTGTGTTAAATGATGTGCATTTTAACTTGGTTTCACCTGGAAAAGTGCTCGTGATCTTTTGCCAAGTGGGATAGTCTATCCCGCTGCACCTAATGGGTTATAAGTCTAAGCAGTAGTCTTTGCTGGCAGCACGGTGGTTACCATTTGAGCCTCCATACTAGGATTGCTATGTAGTAGTTTTGTGGCTCTGGACAAGTAACCCTCTTAAACTCCAAGTTCCACATTCATAAAATAGACATATTAACCCCTACCTCCAGTTGGCGGGAACAAATGAAGTAATATATAGAATCTATAGAAAGGCTTGGATCCAGGACATTAACACAACTAATACTTTTTAGCTAATTTATTAAGATTATTATTTCACAGTGCAGGGTTGTTGTTGTTTTTTTTTTTCTGGTCAGCTGTAGTGGAAGGGTAAGAAAAGGGTATTGTCGGCCAAATGGTTTGCAGAAATAGATCAGCACTGGAATATAGTAAGTGCCCAATTAAAAAAATAGCAAACATTTACATAGTCCAAGACTTTTTTGTAAGTGATTTGCATATATTAGCTAATTCAATCCTCCCAACCCATAAAGCATAGGAACTGTTATCCTCGTTTTATAGATGAAAAGCTGAAAAATTCAGTAATTTAATGTGGATTGCACAGCTAATAAGTGTAAGAGCCAAGATTCAAACAAACACAATCTGGCACTAGATTCTGTATCCTTTATGGGTATATTACATGCCTCACATAAAAAATAGTTATTATTTTTAGTACATAAAATAATGGAAATACATCTTAAGAGAACTGAAATGTAATTACAAACACTTTTACTCATCATCTTTTTCTCTTACGAATGTGATCCATACATGCGTTGTGTTTTCAGACTGCATGACAACTTACAGCAGAGGATTGAACCTGCCTATAGTCAGAAAATGACATGAAAACAATTCTGTATCTCATACTATTATTAGTGAAATTCCAACTTTCAGTTCCTAGCCATTAGTATAACTGAGATGATATCTGTAGATTTGTTTGTTTAAACTAACTTTCAGTACTAACCTAAATCTCAAGCACTATTTTGGTTATCAGCATATCCTAGAACTGTGCCAAGATTGCTGTTATATCTTGTAAACATAGGCAGTTATCATTACCTTTAAAAGTTTAGAAAACAATTACTTACTTCACCTTTTTCTTATTTCCTGTGACAAATATGTAAACTGATTATTTCATATCCTCCTAACTCTGCTTGATAGGATTCCAGAATTAGCACTGCAAATGAGACATTTTTTAATACTTGGATCATTTCTATAACTATTTTTGTTATCCTCTTTTGGTTCTTTGTGGTAATTTTCACACAATACAAAATTGAAAGTTAACATCCCCCATTAATCCTAGAAAAGCAGATTTTACCCTGAATCTTTTTTCAGGTATGCCAAATATTTATGACTGCATATTCTATAAATACAAATAGAACTGCTATAGTTAAGGAAGAAGGTATAGCTGAGGTGATTGTCAGTTTTATATTATGATAATAAGCATCATTTATATGTAAGCATATCAAGTATATCTTCTATCCTAAAAATTCAGATGTAATAATTCTATCCAACTGTAAGCCACTAATGTGAGCAGAGATCTTTAGCTATGGTTGACAACAATAATAGCAGGAAAAAAGTAATTAATTAAGCAAATAAACACAAATATGCTTATTTATTTAATCCATTGCATATTCTAGGGCAAATTAATGAGTTATCTTCATAACAAAAAACACTTTAATATTAATCTCATATAACGAACTATATTTTGAATATTTTATGTTAAAATTTATATAAGCGTTTTTCTAGTTACAGTGTTGTGGCCAACATAATTACACAGACTGGATAAAGAATAAGAATAAAGAAAATCCAGGACAGGTGCCATGTTCTTGCACAAAATTTACTCTAAGAAAATGGTTTTGTGATGAGCCACTGAATGCAACTTATCTCAAGGTAAAGATAAGTCTAGGCTTCTCCGAGTGTTTATAGTATTTTGTTTGTTTGTTGTGTAAGTCAATTTAGAATTCTGAGCAAATTTTTATACAAAAATAGTGTTGTTTGTGGTGGCTACATTCTTAATCCACTTCCCTAAACTGAACACATAATCAGGTAAATTGTAGTGTTATTTCCAAGGTATAATACAAAAAGTAAATAAACATCCTGGGAGTATATGATTTATGTATTCTTGAAACTTGGGATATCATCAGTCTTTCTCCCCAGTCTTCCTTGAGAAGCCCTGCATAAAGAGGAGGCAGTTTTGTCAAAGCCTTGGTGCATATGATTGATTAGGGAGCTGTAACACCAGAAGTAAAAGGATAGGCAAAAACTGAAGGGAATGGGTCCCAGCAATGTCGAATGTGGTGTTCAGGTAAGTGTGGCAGAAGCAAGAGTAAAGGGTTCTCTGGAGCAACTGTGATTTACAAGTGTGGGCTATAGATAACTAGATTTTCCATCCCAAGAACTGCTAATACTTTGTATAGTTTGCATACTAAGCTTATTCTAATTTTAAGATGTATTGTTTCAATTGCAAAATTAATTCATAAATAAATGGTAAATACATTTTTAAAAGCATCTACTATTTGGGAAATAACCATTTTAGGTGATGGTATATACAGTAGTTACCTCTATCTGCAGTTTCACATTCTGAGAGTTCAACCATTGAACATGTTAGGTTGAAAATTCCAATAATAAATAATAAATAAGTTTTAAATTGCACATCATTCTGAGTAGTATGATGAAATCTTGTGCCTTTCTTCTCTGTCTCCACTGGGACATGAGTCAGCCCTTTGTCCAGTGTATTCATGCTGTGGATGCTACCCAGCCTTAGTCACTTAGTAGTCATCTTCATTATAAGACCAACTTTTGAGGTATCACAGTGCCTGTATTCAAATAACCCTTAATTTACTTTGTGGTGACCCCAAAGTGTAAGAATAGTGATGCTGGCATATTGTTATAATTGTTCTATTTTATTATTAGTTATTGTTTTTAATCTCTTGCTGTGCCTAATTTATAAATTAAACTTTATTATGTTATGTTTCTCTAGAAAAATACATAATATATTTAGACAGTTTGATACTGTCTGTAGTTTCAGGCCTCCGTTGGGGGTATTGCTGGTAGGTAAGCAGGGAGACTACTATATCCTGATGAATTACAATAGTCTGCAGAAGAGAAAAATCCCTTTTCAAAACTTGATAAATTTCTGATTTTAATTACATGATTACATCTTAGCAACTTTAAAATTAGCAACTGAGGTGTCCTGCTACCATACAAAACTTTCTGGACTAAAAGTCCAGTCTCCAGTTAGATATTTGTTATCTTACTATTTTGATTTTGGTAAATTACTAATCTCTGTTTATCTTTTATTTTTTGTAAAGAATTATGTATAAGATCATTTCCATCTCCAAGTCAATCTGAATAAGTTCTTTTCCTCAGGGTTGTGAAAATAAAATCAGTACATGGTATAATGTCAATGCGTTAACTGTAACTGGAATTAACTTTGGACTTTTAACTTCAGAGGTAAGTTTTTGTTCATATGTTAAAAATGAAAAATATTAAGTATAAGCTATACAGAATAGACTGCAGAGTGATCAGGTGGAGACCTAATTAGATAAGTTCATATAATAGGAGCCAGGACTTTGATGCTTTTTACATCCTAGAGTTGTATAGGCGATCCCTTAATCAGCCAGGTGTGGGGAGCCTGTTAATAAGTGGTCATCCTGGAGGTAGTAATTGTATTACATTGAGATCTCCAATACCGATCTCTCTATCTTTTTATCTTTCTTTCTACATAGATAGAAAGATAAATAGATCTATAGATGTATAGATATCTTTATATGTGTATATATATACATATATGTATATGTATATTATATATTGGCAGTAAGAGCACCATTTTGGGCAGTCTGCAAGTTGGCAGACTACTGAAATCTAGCCAGATGTTTGACATGCGTGAGATCCACCATTCACTCATATATTGACTCATTCAATATATTTGGAGGGAGGAGGTCATTTATTGTGTTTCATGTACTCTACTAGATGTTGATATGCAATGAGATGCAAAATAGACACATTCCATGACCTAAAGGTGGCAACTGCAGAATTAGGATTCAAGACACTATTCTCCAGTCTCAGTGAAGACTATTAAGTGCAGGCAATGGATTCAAAGAAACAGTGAGAGTGAACAGAGCATTATAGTGGTTACTATACCACTAAAATGAATACATAATGCATTTTTTGACAGATAGGATAAAGATTCTGCATTTGACTTTGCATTGATCCATGAAGCTCCTGACCTAAGTTTCCATCTATTCAGCTGGTAGCAATTTTAGTCTCCGAATGGTAGTAAACCAAGACATTCTTTATATACATTAGCATCATTGTTTTTAAATGTTTATTCTCTATTGTGTTCATGCTGGAATATTTTAAGAGAAAACTGGAGAGGATAACATCCATGCTCCATTTTATCTTCTGACTTTTACATACCACTTTTCATTATCTGTAACAAAAAGAAGGAGTTTTGTACATTTAAGGACACAGTTAGGAAGATGCCGAATAACAACAACAAGAAAACCATTAGCAGTTTGTCAAGGCATCTAGCTCAATGATAGCTCATGTAATTAAAACCTAAGGGTTTTTTCCTATTCTCCTCTTTACATGAACTAGGTAACAGGTGGGTTATTCTTGAAGACTCATTTTGCGGGTTTCTTATTCACAAGTATATGTACCTTACTCTGAAATTTTTTCACCCATTTTGATTCATTTTCCCTTTAAAATACACATTTAGGTGACTATATAGTGTTAACTTTACAAATTACTCATTGATTAAATTTTGATCTCCTATCATTCCCTTTTCTTCCAGGTTTTACAGGTCTTATTAACAGTTCGTTTCTTCAAACACATCAAGAATATAATTCATGCAGAAATGTGACCTTTGGATTTCAATTTGTTCAGAAGAAACTAGTTAATTCTTAAAATAATCACACTATATTATTTTATTCCAAAAGTTTTGAATTGCATTAAATAACAGATCTATTCAAATTATTGATTATATTATACTGAATTATTGAATATTATAATAAAACTCATGAAATTATATTAATCTGTTTTTCAAAATATTAAATTCTACAGTTCAGAAATTCATCTTATTTTTTGAATTTAAAGGGTATCATCATATTTACAAAACTCAAAATATCACCATATGTTTTGAGTTACTTTTGTAGAGAAAATACCTATATGATGTTCAGAAAATACTAATTCAGTAATCAGTCATATCATGTATCTTTTATTCGCAGATCTTGAGAAAACAATACTGATTTGATAGTACATTTAAAAGAAAGATCTTTGATGACACTAACATCTGCATTAAATCTTCATGACATTAACATCTGTGCTAAATCATTTATCTGTCTTTCCTGATAATGTTTGCAAGTGGATAATAAACTTAAAGGCTTGGTTATGCTTTTATGGCAATAACACAATATTAAAATAGCAGTTAAGCTTTAACTGTAGCAAAAATAATCCATTCTAAACACTGAAATCCCACACTCTTTACTAGCTCATTTTTCTTCTCTTTTTCCTTAAATTTTATTCAATACATGTTGATATAATTCTCTGAAGAATATAAAAGTAACCTATCTGTCCTATTTTCCTAACAATGTTACTGTGAAAAAATAAATTCTTTGAAAAGTAAGTGCTACACAGATGTGAGGTACTATTGTTGTTGTCCCTTAATAGCAAAAGGCTGTCTTGACCTTGAGGACGTAAAGAAAAGATAGATTAACTGAAGATCCTGCATTGCTCCAACTCCTATAGAAAGCTCACTCTCATTTATGAATTCAATAATACATCTTTTCATCCATCTATTTAGAACAGTGAAGATTTCAGAGACTTCTGTACTTTTTATGTCAGCACAAAAGAAAATACAATAACCATTTTTTTTGATGCAATCTTTTTTAGATTTAGATATGTCAAGTAGATATACCTTCTATTTGTGGGAAATATTCTTTTAGGATTTAAAACTCATCTTCAAATTTCTGTTTTCTCTACAGTATGTCACAATAACACACTGATAGCAAAAATCCCTCTAATAGGAATTGAAAACCAAACTAATGTTAATCAAATTCTACATATTATTTGATTTTCATCAAAAAGGTCTCAATATAGTAGATTGCCTATTCATAGTTAATACAGTTAATTCAAAAATTGTATGCACCACTGACTGAATCAATCACCTTTATGATTCTAGGGAATATCGTTTTGAAGGAAGTCACTTTATACCCTGAATATAATAAATACTTATTGGCAAAATAAAATGGAATATATTAGAGTCATGTTTCTCTTATTAACCTTGTTTTCTAAAGTCTGAGATAGAAAATTTGTAAAGTCATAAAAATTAATCTGGATCAGAAGTGAAACCTGGAATAACACCGAATTCTGACTTTCCCTTCAAATGGTCATATAGCTTACACAAACGAATTTAACTTGCTTCAAGCTCCCCACTTTAATTATGCTTCAAAAAACAGGTCTATTTTGAGATGGTACTATATAAGTAGAATATTTTCAAATTATCCTAGATAAGGATAAATACATTCAGTCAACAGGTGTTTATGGAGAACATATAATACTATTCGCCAGTGATGTTGCTACTTACTGGGATATGAAGATGAAAAGATATACAGGACTGACCTTTCGGGCATGCAACCTACATTTAGAAAAGGTCCATGTAAGTAGCTTTGCAAAGAGCTGGCCCTGTCCCTGTAGTTATATCTGGAGTCCAGTCATGCAGCCAGATATAAAAACAAATAAATTTTATGTCCATAAAAATTACTATATATATAATTACCGAGAGAGAATGCCAGTTTGCCTTAAAGGTTCAGAGAGCATTTTTGAAAGAAAAGTCATTAATTCAGCAGTTACTTATTGAGCAATTACTATGTGTCTGTCACTGTACTGAGTGGTAGGGAAATGGCAGTGAATCAAACAAAACAAAATAAAAAGTTATATAAAAAAACAAAAAACACACTGCTCTCATGAAGGTTACTTTCAAGGCAGGGAAACCAAACAACAAAATTTAAACAAATTAGACCTCATGTCATGGCAAGAAGCACTACAAGAGAGAAAAACGAGGGAGTAAAATAAGCAGGAGAAGGAGGGTTGTGGGGATTGCATTTCTAAATAGGATATACAAAAAAAGCCTCACCAAGAAAATGACTTTTGAGTAAAGTACTGATAGAGACAAGAAAATAAGGGGAAGATGCGCTGTGAGCATGTTGAGTTCAAAGAAAGGCCAAAAAGCCATGTGCTTAGTGAAGAGGCTGGGGAAGAAGGGAGAACGTTTCAGAGGGAGAAAAGGTCTTGACGGGACTTGGCAATCACTCTCAGGGCTTTCATTTCTACTCAAGTTAGATGTAAAGCAATCGGCAATTCATAACAATTTCATAAGTGACGTGGTCAGATTTGTTTTTTAATAGGAGTAATAGAGCTGCCATGTTAAAAATAGAGTTAAAGGGCACAAGTGTGGAAGCAGGGAAACAGACTGGATTTTATTTAATAATCCAGATAGATGATAGTGGATTGGGCTGAAGAGTAGAGGTGAAGTTAATGAGAAGTGACCAGATACTGTATGCATTTTGGGGTGGAGTCATCAGAATTTACCCACAGTTTGAATGTAGGGATATGAAAGAGTGGAGTCCAGGATGACCAGAGTAAATGGAAGGATAGAATTACCATTTTCTAAATCAGGAAAGATGGAAAAAACAAGGTAATTTTAATACTTAAAACTTTAAAAATCCTACTGAAATGATTTGTTATGTGTCTACATTCCTCACTAGTCAGGAAAAAACTTAAGGCTAGCTATAGTTTCAGTCATCTTTAAAACTCCAAATCCTTGCTCAGTAGGTAACAATGTAGGTGGTCAATAAATGTTAATAAACTTTAGAAGTTCAGGTTATTCCATAAGCCATCAGAGTAAGGCCAGTTGCCCTCTTAGTTTGATGCTGACTATATTGCAAAGTTTTGATTTCATTAGGCTGTCATAAAGTCTAGATGTGTTCGGTGAAAAAGGAGCTGTGAGTTCAATCACTCACTGCCACCTGTATACCCTGTCTCTAGGAACCTGACCTGAATGAGAGATATTGGTGAATCAAGACTTCTTTAAAAGGATTTCATTGAAAAAAACGTTTAAAGGAATAGCACAGTGAAAATAATCTCAGCCAGTCCTAAGCTTTTGTTTAATGTTTGTGACATTTAAGGTACGTATACTTTTATCGTTCTGATCTTAGAGGAGTAATTATTCAGGAATGTAAGAGTTCCTGGCAAAATGAAGACACACACACAAAATCGGTGTTCTCAGTACCATGATAAAGGGCTGGAAAATATTAAAAAAAAAAAAAAAGACAAACTTTACACCACCTGTTTTACTGATATAAATTTAGCTTTTTTAACTTTTTTTGTCTCTTTATTCTTTTTTTTTATTTTGGGGGTCGCCTATTATTTTAGAGAGAATAATAGCATATTTTTAGAAGAACTATAATTATTATACAATAATGGATTTAACACTGTATGAATGATAAAAACAAGGAAAGCAGAGCTATTTTTCTGACAAATTTATAGAGGTGAAACTTTCCCTAGTATTCTAAATATTTGGAACAAAGTAATGAAAATATTTTTACATAGGAGCATTTATAAATTTAAAGTGCTTAACAATTGTTGGGATGTATTAAAACTGTAACTAACTGTATTCAACATAGTAGTAATTCATCCTCCTTAATGTTTGAGAAAATATATGAACTGAAATATGCAAAATTATTGAGTTTCTGGATTAATGTTTCTTTTAGTAGCACATTGTATTTCAGGGAAAAATATAAAAGACACTAGATAACAGAATATGTCTGTAAGAATACATACAGGTTTTTATTGAAATAAAAACATTTGTTACAAAGTATCATATGTAATGGGATTATAAAGAATATAGCATATACAAAATTATAAAGAATGTGCTAAGTACAAAATGATATGTTAGATACAAAATATATATTGTATAAAAATAATATATTATATGCAAAAAAATTATATATGTACAAAAAGATATATAAAAACACAAAGGGTCATAGCAGTAGAATTAGAAAGAATATATTATCACAACATCAACAGTCTTTTATTGTTAAAGTTCTAGGATATAGACACATTAAAGTATGGCATAACAAAATTTATCACTAATATTCCGATGTAAGTGGTTTACTATTTATTCACTTACTTTATTTCATCCAGGAGGAAATGTTAACTTTTTTCCATGTTGAAATGTGTTATTACTATTAAAACTCCAGGAACAAAATGTATTAGGAATTTTTTTTTGTAGAGGGGACAGAATCTCACTCTATTTCCAGGTTGGAGTGCAGTGACGTGATCTTGGCTTACTGCAATCTTTGCTTTCTGGGTTCAAGGGATTCTCCTGCCTCAGCCTCCCAAGTAGCTGGGATTACAGGTGCCTGCCCCCATGCCCAGCTAATTTTTGGTATTTTTAGTAGAGACAGGGTTTCACCATCTTGACCAGGATAGGAAATTTTTAAACAACAATATCAGATACGAGTAAGCAATTTTAATATTCTACTAGCTATATTGCTATCTATTGTGTTTAAATTCCATTAAGTAAAAATATGGCTGGCATGTCATGCATCAATTTAAACCTATTAGGTTTGTAAGAATTTCCTCTGTGTTAAAAAATAAAAAAATGTTTTAAAAGCACTAGATTAATTCTAAAGGAAAATTTGGCAAACATTATTAATAACCTCAAATGAATTAAACACAAATTTGTAAGAGGATTCAGAAGATTATTTTTCAAGTCTGTAGGATATAAAGATACTAAACTTTAGTGTTTACTTTTGTGTCCATTGTTGGTTGACTTTTAGGCATTTTCTTCAAATCTAATCTAGTATTGGATATCTGCAACTATTCATTTAATTAGTAATTCTTACTAAACATAAGAGGTTCCCCCGCAGACCATCATATCAATTAATTATGTATTTATAGTGTCATATATTCATTCATTTTAGTTAAAACATTACTAGAGTTATTTTTTCATCTCACCAATTTCATTC